ACAATATTTAGCATATGATGTATTTAGTAGGTTTCTCACATTGTCTTAGTATTGGAAAATTCATGCTATCTTCACTTAATATTTCCACTGTGATCACATTTATTGTCAAAAAAAATTGTCTTCGGGCCAATACAAATGCTAAACGAACATTACCCTTCACTCACATACAACAAATTAGCAACAAAATTGATTTATGATCCAACGAACTGGACCTTAAAGTAGGACCAACACAAAAGTTTTAATACACAGATAATAACATTGATTCCATTGGCTAATTGAAGAGACAAACCCATGAAAACCAAAGCATACTCAATGAATAATTTCTTTCCAACAAACACAACACATTATTTATCTTATAGCATCTAAGCTTACATAAGAAGATAATAAAAGCTTCAATACTAACAAATTTAACAATACATGAGACTATGAGAGATAGAAGAACAAACAAATTTCAATACAACCATTTAAACAAAGAACAGAAATCATTGTCTTAGCATCTTCTCCCTTGATAATCCTAGCAAACTGGATGTCCTAGGGCATTACGATCACGTGCTTGGCATGAATGGCATAGAGGTTAGTGTCCTCAAACAGTCCAGCAAGGTATATCTTGTTACCTGAAACATTAATAAAAAACAACAATAGTTCCTAACATTTGTTACATTAAAAAAATAAAAAAGTTAATGATATTTCAAAATATATTACATTATATCCCAATTAACCATTTTAAATCCCATAAAATACAACTTTTTATCGAAAATTTCATTGATAAGCAGACAAGATTAAGTTAAAGCAAAAAGGTAATACTGCTGATACTAGTTCTGGTGCGTCGTTACTTGATCTCACCTCTATTTAAAAAGACTGGTTAGGTTTGGAACCTACTTTAGAAGATTGTTTCAAAGCCAGAAGACTTCAGTGTGGTCATAAATGGATCAAAAGAGGAATGTAAACAACTCTAATGAAAGTAAAGTGAGCGTAAGTACATACGTTAGCCTTTGCAAAAGCTGAGGCAGAGTGCAACACTTTGCTATTAATCATCTTTGAACTCACTCTCTTTTTCATTCAATTTTTCCCTCTGCAGAGTGAAGAAAAAAGACACAACACAAATCAGTGACTTAAACTTGTGTTTTAATCACTGTTTATACTTCTTATATAGCTAATACCCTACCCTGCATGCCCAAAGCAAACATGAGAATGTAACAACAGACACTTTAAGCGAGTATTAGTCACTTATACAAGAGGAAGCGATGAAAAGTAACTAAATGAATAAAGGCTATACGATAGTGCAATACATACATCATCCTTCTCATAAATGGGTATGGGCTCAACACAAAATTCTCAATCAGCTAAAAAACGATCCTACTACGTCAAATGGAAAATAAACAAAATCACAATCTTAACTGCACATTAGGTGAAGTTGCATTTACAAACTCATAATCAGAACTTAGGTTAGTACTTTCACTGTATCATTTGTATGAAGATATCACTTTCAAGGTATGTTTACCTAATTTACATTTCAATAAATCTAAACTAGATTGTTAATGCTAAACTATAAGCATGACTTGATAAGCTAAAATTAAATAAATGCTTCCTGAAACAATCACAATTTTTTCAGTTTGGGAAATTCAACAAGCTGATAATACGAGCAATCACAATTCAAGAAGCTTATAATATGAGCATTTACAATTTAACAAGCTGACAATATAAAAATTAGATCATTTCAAACCAGGGAAAATAAGTTTGATAATTGAATACAATCAAAAGTAGTGAAAAATGAACAAATTAGGGATGATAGAAGGAAATGATTAAGTCAAGTCACAAAGTGGCTGTGCAACCTTGACTATGGGAATACCGAGGATAAAAGGAACCCGAAACCCAATTGGAAAATTTGGAGATCCTTTCGATTCTTTGATTTCGTTAAAGCAAATATGAATACCTAAAGAGGATGCTTGCACATTGGCCGACTGATGTTTAGGTTAGACCAGATTGCTCTTGTTCGAGGGGATGATTAAGGGCTTCAACTGGTTTCTTGTTCAGTTACGGTGTTATGATCCTAGGGACTGATTTGCAATTTTAAAAATAAAGTGTCTTACGTGGAACAAATGACCAACGGATTTGAGCCAAGTGGCAAACGCACCAAAACATTCACTAATGCGAAGCACGGTAAAATTTTCCAACGAAGTTTCCCTTATTGTGACCCTTGTTAATTTTCATTCATTCACGTAGTGACTTCATTAATAAAAATTCGGAGGTTCCCAAACAAAAAAACGGGGAAAAATAACAAAGATTAGATAGATAGAGATAAGAAATGATAGATTGAATTATTATTTTTTACTTCAGGGGACGTTTGAGGGAGGGGTGTTGGGGGGGCCTGGAGTAATTGGGGTTGGACCGTTTCCTCAATAGATGGAGTATATATTTTATACTATTCATGTGCTCTACTTTGATTATATTTTATTTATAAATGTATTAAAAAATTATTTTTTAGAAATATAATTAAATATTTCTCATTTTAAATTTTCATGTGAGCTTTTTGAAACATTAAGAAACATAAATATAGATATGTTGCAATTAAAAAGAATGTAGGAATGAAGAAGCTAAGTATTACATCTGTTTTCTTTTATATGCAACATTAGACCTTTTGCACTATTCTCATATTCTACTGTGACTTTATTTTATTTATTAATGTGTTATAAATTAAATTTAAAAACAAATATTGTTAAATTCCTCTCAATGAATTTAACAGTATTCATTGTTAAATTTGTTTACTAATAAAAAATGAAAGATATTAACAGTTAGACTTGTGCATTACAAACGTGAAAAGTTGGACCGTTGCAAATAAAAAAAATAAGGAGGAAGTATATCGTAACAGGTTATGTTTGGCTTTTGACATTTCTGCCAAAGCGGCGACATCAATTATACTAAAAAGTAAAATCGCTACAAATTGTGGCCAATTAGGCCAGCATTTCCTCGGAATGGCCAATAACCAAATAAAGGCTTTGACCGTTTGAGAGGAAACATCATTTATTTGTGCCATAGATTTTGGATTGCTGCGGGATAAAGTCTTCATTTTTTTTACAAAATGCAGTGTAAAATTGTAAATCATTACCAAATATTTTAGTGGTATACTGGTGTCAAATTATAAAAAGTAGATGCTGGAGACTTTTATGTACGTACATCATAAATTAGTTACATCACAAGTTATTAATAAACAACGCCTAAATTTTGGGGAAAGTACTAATACCTGCATTGAAGTTATGTCGCAATCATTAATGCAACTTTTCATTTTCAACCATTTTCCCATAAGTTAATATTTATTAAATTCATTTTCATATCTCTCGCAAATTTAATGAAAATGTCTACATAATTAACATTAAAAAATAAAATAAAATTTATTATCATAATTGCAAGTCATTGTTGTAAATCGATTTTGTTCAACTTAGCTATTCGTGGAACAATATTAGTGACGATAGTAGCAGGAGAAGACTCGCGAGTAATAATATAGGATATATCGAATTAAGAAAGTTGTTTAAAATATGCGTCATTAAAATCTTAGGCATCTCTCCATCATGAATATGAAACTCTTATTTGTAATATATCTAGATAATTAATCTCAATGACATTTCTTCAATGTGTAGTCAAGAAGAAATACTAAGAAAAAATATGATATCATCATATTGAATACCTAAAACTCGAGGAGTAAATTATTAATTTTTAAAAATAAAAGGTTGAGTTAGTAATTTTGACTTAACCATAGGGGCTAATAATAATAATTCCTAAATTTTTAAGGCATTACATATTTTAATTATTTTAATTTGGAAAATTACTAATATCCCCTATGACATACTCCCTCCGTCCCTAATCTTTCTCCCATTTCGGCTGGGCACATTTATTAAGATAGTGAGATTTGTGTGGTGGAGAGTTGTGCAGAGGAGAGAGAAATGTGTAAGAATGTATAAGAATGGTTGTGAACCACAAATTCTTTGCTAAAAGGAGAAAGAGGAGATAATTTTGGGACGGATGAAAAAGGAAAGTTTGAAGATAATTCAGGGACGGAGGGAGTAATAACTAATAGAATATTGCATTATATAATAGCCCTTTGTAGTATCAATTAGTTTCTCAATTTTTTTTTAATATTCTCACTCTTTGCCCCTCACATAATTATTTATGTAATTAAATTTTATCCCTCTCAAATTCAATAAAAATGTCGTCTGATCTCATGATCGAGATACGTCAAAGAAGACTATTTCAAATTGTGTTCTGAAAATTCTATGCACTTATTCATCATTAGTACTCCAAAGTCTTATGACAGAATAACTAATAGAAAACTGCATTATATAATATCAATTAGTTTCTCAAAGTTTTTTTTTTAAATTTTCTCACTTTTTCCCCTCGCATAATTATTTATGTAATGAAATTTTATCTCTCTCAAATTCAATAAAAATGTCGTCTGATCTCATCATGAGATACGTCCAAGAAGGTTTTTTCAAATTGTGTTCTAAAAATTCTATGCACTTATGACTTATTCATCATTACGTACTCCAAAGTCTTATTATTTAATGTTAATTTTCCTTTAATAATTTAATTTGTTAATGTTTTTATCTTATAGTCCTATTTAATATTGAGCATTTACTATAATGATATCGTTATTATGTACTACGTAATTTTTAGTTAAAGAAACAAAGAACCCGTTTAGTTATTCCGTTTTTTGGCTTAATAGTCAACTGGTTAATGTATCAAATACTTAAATTTTGATTTTGCGTGCTGAATTGTGTGATAATCAAATAAGTAAGGTTAAAACTGGTTCTCTAGCTAGTTGTATTAGATGAAATTATTGTAAAATCAATTAATACATTCATTTCAGTCAAAACTTTATAAATTTCCGTGAAATCAGTCGATTCATCAATTTCAATGTTACCAAATGAGCTATGAGAAAGTAAATAAGTAATGATGGTATGTATATTGTGACATTAGAGTTTTTTTTTTCAATTTCAATTTAAGTTTGACAAATATTTAGGTGCCACCGGTTTGATGACGTTTCATTCATCTGGCCGGCTAACTCTCACTATATATACAGTTATTCACCGTAGAGATCGAAATATATACAGAGTAGATCTTAATAACGAGGAAAAAACATGCAGTGAAGTGGAGAATATGCGGAGTCTTCTTTCGCCGGCTAGCCGATGGGTAACCATCCATCAATGAGGTCAGTAAATTAGTACAATAAGCTATCCTTATCAAAGCTTTATTTAATGTAATTTCTGCAATTTGATAAAAAATGCTTTAGATTTCATTTAAATTAATTTGTTGCTCCGATTCTTTATCTATTTTATAATTAATTATTTATCACGCTGTCTTTTCACCCCACTGTACCAGTATCACCAAATCAATTACCAAATGAAGCAAAAGAAAATTAAGACCAAACAAAATACTCTGTACTTCGTAATTTGTTTTTTCATTTTTACGGGGAATTAAGGATTTTATATATTTTTGAAGTGAAAACTAAAGAGGACTACAAATTTCCCTTTGCATACTTGTAGACTTGTCGGTTTAACAAATAATAATCATAACAATAATAGCACATTAGTACAGAATAATACGTAGTAATTAATATTAATAATAATAACATCTTCAACGGTTCAACCATAACAAAACAACAATAGTAATTGACAACGTACAACGACAAGAAAGTGATAAACTGATAATTCGAATACGAACACTTATAAAATAAAGGGAGTTGTGTGTAATATGATCCATTTTTTCATTAATGAATGGTGAAAGGAGAGGATCACCTAACTACTACTTGGGCTCATCACCCTTTAGGCCTTTACTATTTATGATGATGGTTAATTTTAACAAATAATATAAGTAATAAAGTAATAGTAATAATAGCATTAATAATAATTACCAACAACAACAACATTAAACAATAGAAATGAAAAAAAAAGTGAAGGGAATCTGAATACTAAAACTATGAGAAATAGAGGGCACAAATGTGTGCAATATGGAGCTCTTTTTCATTTATCAAAGATGAATGGAATGGATCACCTTATTGCACACATTTGTCCACTCTATATACTTGTGGTTTTAACAACTAATAATAGTAATAATATACTACTTTCATTCTTTTTTATGTGTCGCTAGAGATATTTCACGGAGATTAAAAAATGAAGCAGTGGAACATAATAAGTGAGGTAATAAAAAAGGTATGAATTGATTCAAAAAAAAGGTATGAAAGAAAATGAGAAAAGGTAGGAAAGAAATAATGAAAACTAAAATTTTTTGGAAAAAGAATATGAAAAAAATGTAAAAGTTCTCAAGTATAGGAACAAGACAAATAATAAAAAAAAAATCTGAAACAGAAGTACACATGCAACGAGTGAAAATGAGCAGTGAGTAATAATAATGTGGTGATGATACAACAAATTGAAGAACAAAGTTTAATATAATGATAAAACTAAAGGCAATAAAGGGAGTTGTGTGTAAGATGACTTTTTTTCATTTATGAATGATCAAAGGAGAGGATCACCTACTTGGGGTCATCGCCCTTTACTATTTATGTTGATGGTTACAACAAATACACAAATTGCCCTAAATAGGAGTAAAAACGTTTTGATATTTCAAAATAGGAGTATAATGTTTTTTATTCTCTGAATATGAGTAATCTACCAAGTTTGGAAATAAAATGTCATGTTTAAAGCCTTGTAATGCCAAACTTGACAGAAATTCACTCCTATTTAGGGAATAAAAAACATGATAGTCCTATTTTGGAATTTCAAAACGTTTTTACTCCTATTTAGGGAATTCTCACTAACAAATAAAATACGGAGTAAGTAATAAAGTAATAGTAATAGTATTAAGAGAATATTACCCGAAATAATAATAAAAAGGTTTGAAAATTCCAAAATAGGACTGTCAAGTTTTTATTCCCAAAATAAGACCGTCATGTTTTTATTCCCAAAATATGACTAATTACTGTCATGTTTTGGCAATGCCAGACTTCAAACATGTCAGTAGTTTCTAAACCTGGCAGTAATTACTCCTATTTTGGAAATAAAAACAAGACAGTCCTATTTTGGAATTTTCAAACTGTTTTAGTCCTATTTCGGAAACTTTTTCTAGTATTAATAATAATTACCAACAACAGCAACATTAAACAACAGAAATGATATAAAAGTGAAGCGAATATGAATATTAGAACTATGAGAAATAGAGGGGACAAATGTGTGCAATACGGAGCTCTTTTTCATTTATCAAAGATGAATGGAATGGATCACCTTATTGCACACATTTGCCCACTCTAGATGCTTATGGTTTTTTTTTTGAAGAGGAAACACTTAACTTTCATTCAAGGAATCAGAGTTCAATACATGAGTAATAAAATAAGGAGGAAAATCATCCCAATAACAACAATCAGACATAGAACAAACGGCTTTAGCTAAACTATGAGCCGCCCTAGATGCTTATGGTTTTAACAACTAATAATGGAGATTAAAAATGAAGCAGCGGAACCTAATAATTGAGGTAGTAAAAAGGGTATGAAAAAATGAGAGAGGAAGGGAAAAGAAACAATGAAAACTAAAAAATTCAGAAAGAGGTTATGATAAAATAATGTAAAAGTCATCAGCTCAAGTATAGAAATGAGACAAATAATAAAAAATTTCTGAAACAGAAGTACACACGTGACAAGTAAAAATGACCATAATGAGTAATAGTAATAATAATAATAATAATAATTATTATTATTATTATTATTATTATTATTATTATTATTATTATTATTATTATGGTGGTGGTGGTGGTGAATCTGGTGATGATACAACAAAGTTAAAAACAAAGTTTCACATAATGGTAAAACTAAAGGCAATAAAGGGAGTTGTGTGTAAGATAAACATGTTTTCATTAATGAATCGATGATGAAAGGAGAGGATCACCTACTTGGGCTCGTCACCTTTTACTATTTATGATGATGGTTATAACAAATAATATAAGTAATAAATTAATTAATAGTAATAGTATTAATAATAATTAAAAAACAATAACAACAATACTAAACAACAGAGTGATAAAAAAGGGAAGTGAATCTGAATATATATTAAAACTATGAGAAATAGAAGGGACAAATGTGTGCAATACGGAGCTCTTTTTCATTTATCAAAAATGAATGGAATGGATCACCTTATTGCACACATTTGCCCACTCTAGATGCTTATGTTTTAACAACTAATAATGGTAGTAATATATTACTTTCATACTTTTTTATTTGTTGTTAATAAAGATATTTCATGGAGATAAAGAATGAAGCAGCGGAACCTAATAATTGAGGTAGAAGGGTATGAAAGAAAATGAGAAAGGGTAGGAAAAGAAATAATGAAAACTAAAAAAATCGGAAATAGAATATGAAAAAATATAATAATGTAAAAGTTCTCAAGTATAGAAATAAGACAAATAATAAAAATATTCTGAAACAGAAATACACACATGACAAGTAAAAATGACCAGAATGAGTAATAATAATAATAATTATTATTATTATTATTATTATTATTATTATGGTGGTGGTGGTGGTGATGATACAACAAATTTAAAAATAAAGTTTAATATAATGATAAAAAGTAAAGGAAATAAAGGGAGTTGCGTATGAGATTTCATTTTTTCATTTAATGGATGATGAAAGGAGAGGGTCACCTACTTGGCTCATATTATTTTAACAATTAATATAAGTATTAGAGTAATAGTAATAGTATTAGTAATAATTATCAACAACAACAACAATATTAGACAACAGAAATGATAAAAAAGTGAAGCGAATCTGAATACTAAAACTATATATGAGAAATAGAGGGCACAAATGTGGCAATACGAAGCACTTTTTCATTTATCAAAGATGAATGGAATGGATCACCTTATTGCACACATTTGTCCACTCTATATACTTGTGGTTTAAACAACCAATACGGGAGATTTGCAATTTTAGTCATGCAACTTTCGGTTGTTATGATTATTGGTCCTGTAACTTTAATCATTTGTAAATTTGATCTTGTAACTAATAAATCTTTGCAATTCAAGGACATTTCCACCGGAAAGTACACTTTCCGGTAGAAAAAATGGTAATAAGCCTCTGGAACGCTAGTATAATTCTACCGGAAAGTACACTTTCCGGTTGTTTACCATTTTTTGTACACTTTCTGGCAGAAAAAATGGTAATAAGCCTCTGGAACGCTCGTGTGCAATACTGACTGCCATCTTTGTAGAACGCTAGGAGCTCAATTCTATTTATCAGTCTTACAACTCTCAAATAAGCCTAATACTAATACTAATAGTTTAAAAATCAAACAGAACTGAAAACACAGCAATAAGAAGTGATCTTTAATGCAACTTAAGCACACGAGTATTGCACTATTGCTGATGGCAGTCAGTATAATTGGGAATGGGTTCGTTTTCTTGTCTAAAATGGTCAGAGTTACAGCTTCAATGACTTCATTCTGAGCAGTAACTATAAAGGGCCAGACCGACAGACCATCAATTTTTACAAAAAGGACCACATTTTCTTTGAGTGTCAGTATTACATGGCGATTATAAAAACATACACTACGTATATAAATCACATTAAAGAATGATAAGAGGCCCCTTCATCAGCATATAGCCGCCCACATATTAGGACTGTCTGTTGGTGAAGGGCATTAAAAACTAATAAACTATAAACTGCAAAACTAAGAAAACAAATGTATGTGCCATTTCGAAAGAGTATTGAGATTCAATTCAAACATTACCATTTACCACTGCGAGTTAACAATTTAAAGAGAACCAAGGCTTCAGCTGAAGGAGGACAGGTCTACACAAAACAAAATTCTTCATCTATTACGTTTTCCAATGACAATCCAATATACATCACACCCCATTATAATCACCCAGCAATAGAATCTGCCCAAATCTCCCAAATCTATGTGTATAAGCTAGGCAGTGCAAGATACAAGCTAAGATCATAGTTGAATCTGAGCCATTATCTTTCGAGTTAATATTTTGACATGTTCAGTGATTCATATTCATGTATAAGGGGCAGATGATGTAGGAAGAGTTTGAGAGAATAATACTAATAAGCTAACTGTATGCAATGAATATTCAGCTCAACCTCAACCAAGTGACCTCCCTCCCATATGCCTCCTGTGTCCTGCTGCCTCAATTAGAACACTGGAAACCATCAACAAGACCAACATCATTCTGTTTCACTGTTCTTTTGCACATGAAGCCACAAACACAAGGTTACTATTTGAGGTCATCCGCATAGTTCTGGTTACAACAATCACTCTCAAATTCATCCATTTGGTTCGATTTCGGAAATGCAGTTAATGTCTACTTAAACGAAAAACTGTTATGATAAGGGTTCCTTAAGAACTCCCTAAAAATTTCCAAACTTACGCACATACTAATATCCCAATAAAAGTGTGTTTTTTCCTTTCAAAATACTATATAAGTAAATCAATCAAAAGCACTTTCCTTTGAAATTCCCTTTTTTCGGTCATTCACATCCGTGGGACAAATATCTTCAACACTCACCTGACGGCTATGGAACAAAGCAATATCCTCAACATCCACCTTGACAACATCTTTCCTAACACCAATGTCATTTCCATACCTGTTCACTAAATAAGTCCCTGTTCCCAAACCCAAGCCTACCGGAGTAGTTGTGTTGAATAAACTTCCAACAACCCCCACCAAAGCACCCCCTAGGAGAGCGCTAGCCACTTGACCAGTTGTTCCCGAACTTCCCATAGCAAGATTTGTTTGTTGATGAACGATGATGAGGCCTGTTTTACAGTACAAGGCAAAATCTTCACAGTTTCTATGAAAAAGGTCATACTTTCCAAATCCATTCTGAAGTAGATACATGGCCGTGTAGATAACACTTTCTGGAGGATCAGATTCCGCAGTGGTGCATGTACCTCCGCGGACTTTTGTGAGGAAAGTCAGACAATGACTGCCATACTCAAATTCATACAATGATCCTTCCTTCAGGAAACAGTCCAAGCAAGACAGAAGCACTCCACTTTCACTCTTATGGAATCCACAGTCAAGAATATTCTTTGGGCACAGTGACAACTCAGCTTCCATACTTCCTCCACTTGCTGTAAAATGTACAACTTTGTTGCCACCAACATATATTCCTAGACAAGCCATCCAACAGCACATGAAAAGAAATCATCTTCACTTTTTTTTTTCTAAAATGAAATAATGAGAGGAGTAGTCTCAAAGCTTAATCATTTAAAATTTTATACTTTTCAATATTACAAATGGTTTACCTTTTCAAGATGGGTAAAGATCAATTTAGACTTTAGTAAACCATAATGACAGTGAGAACGAGATAAGATAATAAGGAAAATCCTATCTCAACTACAATTAACAAATAAACCTAACCATTGCCTCCTCATGGAGCCAAGCATAACAAACTTCAAACAAATGTACTCATAAGTCGATGTTTACCCGCATCACATTGCCGATTTGAGTTTAATAGATTATGAAATGAGAAAAATAAAAACATAAAGTAGATCTACAGACATTACCATCCTTGTTTTATCCTAACGATGTTACTTACCCAATCATAGAAAAATAACTACTAACTACATTTGTTAGAGTATTTCTTTAAAAATGAGTGAAGGACAAATCCTATTGTAACAGAATTATAGAAAACAGAGATGGGTAGGTTTATGCATATGAGCATATCATCTAATCGTCTATGTTTTGCTGTTGTTAGTGATAATTTCCAACCATGAAATCATATTATGAATAGTGACTCTATCCCAATAGATCCACATATGAGTAGTCCAATAGTTTAGGTTTTATATTGAGCAAAATTTAGGACTGATTAAGAGTTTATGTGGGTAAAAAAAGTGCAAATGTGAACACATTACTGGAAAGAAATGTAATAATAGAAGTGGAGAAAGAGTAGAAACCATGATGAGCATAAGCAAAGGCGGATCTCCAAGTGTAAATATGGTCGCCGGCTGCTATTTCACTTCTCTCGACTCTCTGCGACAGCAGACCCATTCTCTTCCTACTCAGCACTGAGACTGAGTCGGCCAGTCATATATCTCTGATCTAAAACGAAACCAAATGAATTAGCATTTGTTTACAGTGTCTTGACTCTTGAGTGTTACAAAACCAAACGAAACCTCATTCTTCCCCCAAAAAATCCAATGTTCGAACAGTGTTACAAAGGATAGAGATCTGTGCCCTAATAATTGCCATTTGGAAAGATTTGATAATATTAAGAAGAGAACTCTCATGCATGAAAATGTAATATTGAAATGAAAATTTTACGGTCATACGATAGTATTATATTTTTTTAAAAAAATATGACATATCACATTTTTGTTTAAAAAGAAATTCTAAATACTCCATAGGAGTTTACCAAAAAAAAAAATACTCCATAGGAGTTAAAAACAATTTGAAAAAGTATATTTTATTTTAATGCGGCCTTCCCTCTTGTAGGGTTTACGATTTCCGCCGATTTCTCGTGCGGCTCGGACGATGGTGAACGAAGAAACCGGGAACGAAGGGAGCGGATCATGCACACGACTCCGCTGGGAACGATGACGCAGGGGAGCAGTGGTGGTCCTTCGGGTCCGATCGGACAGAACCAAGGCGACGGAGAGGACCCTTCAGAGTCCGTAGGGGCCGGAACAGTGGATAAATTGACAGTGCAATTCGAGGGAATTGGATTGGGCAGCCCGGGGGACGATTTGCTGCTAGATGAAGGGGATGAGGCAGACATCGACTCTGGCGCGGCGGAAAAAGGGGTGGAAGCATTCCCCGTGGTTGGCACGATTTTAACAGATAAAGTGGTCAGATTCCAGGCTCTCCGCGATCTGATGGCATCGTTGTGGCGTTGAGTTAGAGGTGTGTTGATTCAAGATATCGGGGAGAAGAGGTATCAGTTTACATTTTATCATATAATTGGCGCGAGAAGCATCAGACTCCACTGCAATATCACGCCACTCTAAATCTTGCAGCCAGCTTAGAGCCTCTCTAATTCCGAGCAGCTCGGCTTCCAATGCGGAACACTGCCCCTGCCATTTGCGTGCAGCCCCCGCCACGAAAGTACCATCCTTGTCCCTCAAACACCAGCCTAGCCCGCAGTGATCAGCTCGGACAGCAGCATCAACATTCAGTTTCATCGTCCCCGCTGCTGGGCGGCTCCAGGAAGTAGCCACCTGCCCCCCCCCCCCCCCGCTGCGAAGCCAACCTTGCGGACAGCCTGCGCTTGGACCCAACTTGCCACCATCGCCTCAGCCTTGAACATAAATTGACACGTCGGAGAAGAAGTATTCTGCCAGACGCGGCGGTTTCTCTCATTCCAAATGGCCCAACAACCCCAAATCATCTTCACCAAGTCATCCTTTCTTCTTGTTTGAAATTCCTTATGTACCTGCCCCAGGAAATCATTTGCACTATGAGCAGTCCATCTCCAGCTCACTGCTTCCCACGCCTCCTTAGCTACTGCACACGACATAAAAATATGGGATAAAGACTCCCCCGGCCCATCGCACAAGCCGCACTGCCCAGGACAAAGCACACGGCGTGACTGCAGGTTATATCTAGTTGGGAGGCTGCCTGTACAAACCTGCCAGAAGAAAATTTTAAGCTTTGGAGGAAGTTTCCAAGACCACATAACCGACCAGTCCTTCTGCTCAGACAAGCTGAAATCCCCGACTAAGAAACGGTAGCAACTCTTGACTGAGAAACGGCCATCTTCCTCCCACCTCCAGCACTTCACATCCGGTACAGAGCGCATACTGATGGGAATAGACTGAACAAGCAAAGCATCTCTATCAACTAAAATATCCTTGAGAATGTCAGAATCCCAAGCACTACCCGAATTATCAAAAAGATTTTCCACAAAGGTGTTTTGAAGTTCCATGCAAACTGGCGTAACAAGTTTGGGATTAACTCTGTCGGGTAACCAGGGTTCCTCCCAAATATTAATAGATTTACCATTCCCAACCCGTCACTTATAACCATTCCGAACCACCTCTTGGGTTTGATAGAGACTCCTCCAAATGAACGAAGGGTTGTGACTGAGTTTAGCCGAGAGAAAATCCCCTTTCGGAAAATACCGGGCCTTAAAAACTTTATTGACAAGGGACTCCGGAGCAGTAAAAATTCTCCATGCTTGTTTAGTAAGCATAGCAAGATTAAAATCCTTCAGCCTTTTGAAACCCATGCCACCATAGTTTTTTGGTCTACTTAAAAAAGCCCAATCCTTCCAGCGAATTCCTTTACCCGACTTACCCTTCCACCAAAAGCCATTCATAAGAGTTTCAATTTCTTTACATAACTCATCAGGTAGCAAAAAAACATCCATTGTGTAGTTTGGCATGGCTTGAATCACCGCTTTTAGAAAAACCTCCCTACCCGCCTTGGAAAGAAATTTATTATTCCAACTATTAATACGGTTTAGGTTCATTACATTCGGTCCGAGTCAGGTTTTTGGTAGCCCGGGTTCGGTTCAGGTTCGGGTTGGGCCGGTTAAAGCCCAAACGTGAAATATCTCATTGTTCTTTTATATTTTAACACCTATTTTCCAATAAAATTAATCAAAAATACAAACCGCAAATAATAACACAAATATTAGTCTCCAAAATCACCAACAATTCAAATCCAAAGAAGATAATTATCTTAATATTTTATATAAGATGCATGTAAATAAATAATATAGGTTTCTCAAAAATATTACGAAATAAAATTTATAGATAAAAATGTGACTAGAATTGCGATAAATATATTTTATGGTCATTATGCTAAACAAAATTGAACATATTTGTCGTCACTAAAAGTTACTAAATCATTTTCTACCCACCGTGATTATAATCATATATTAGGAAATATTTATAAATTTATATTCATATATTATATTAATTTTATATTAAAGCTAATTGTTTCGGGTTTTTATCGGTCCGGGCCGGGTTATAGATTTTAAGGCCTGTAAATGAGCCCGTAATTTCGGGTTCGGTCCGTTTTTTTAATTCGGGCCGGTTAAAAAGAAAAAACCCAGACCGGGATCATAATTTGGACCGGGCCAGGGTCGGTTTCCGGGTTTTGGTTCGGTTTTTCCCACCCTTGACCCCAATCAAGTTATCAAGTAACCTCCCTCCCTCATGGGCAGAGCCCTTGGGTATCGGTAAGACCAAACTTTTAATTTTCGACGAATTTTAGATTGACGTTCTAACAAGTAAAAGTATACAACTAATACATTTCTACTGAGTCCCAAAAAGGGTTGAAGGGGAGTAAAAAGAGTAGATATTGGAGCTACTATACATTTAATTATACTTTTTGGGGTGTATGGCCCTTGCCCCTACTGGCTTCCTCTCAGGGCTGCCCATAAAACCTGTTTTAGGGTACAAGGCAAAATCTTCACAGTTTCTATGAAAGAGCTCATACTTTCCGAATCCAATGTGAAGCAAATACATGGCCTTGTGGATGTGGATCACAGTTTCTGCTGGATCAGAAACTGCAGTGGTTTGCCCTGTGGAGTTTTGCAAGTAAAGCCAAAGATCTCCGACCATACTCAAATCTATATAATGAGCCTTTCCTGAAAAAGCAATCCAAGCAAGACATAAACGCTCCACTTTTACTCTTGTGGAATCCACATTCAGGAATGTCCTCATTTCGGCACGGTGTAGGGCGACTTGAGCTAGAGTTACAAGGCCATAAGAGACATGAAGAAGTAACATCCATACTGTCTTCTGTGGCTGTAAAATGGATCACTTTGTTTCCTCCAATATATATTCCTACAGAAGCCATCACACAATAGTCAATAGCACAAGAAATGAAATCAGAATAGTGAGTAGTGGTCAAGTAAAAGGTATTGAAGAAAAGATTTTGCTACATGGCTGAACTGAGGAGGATATGCACACATGGTATAGAACTCAAATGATTGAAAACCACAAAGTATCAATTTAGGACCTAAAATTCCATATGTTTTGATTTATTTAATTTTTAATTAATTCCATTGCTAATTTTTTGAAGAATCTTTCTTCATAAAAGTTTATTAGTTTAATAAAGTTAAATAATAACTTAAAATTTAAAAATACAAAAAGTAAAGAAATTCATGATAACTTAGGTTCTAGATTAGATTTTGGGTCCTATACTGATACTAGTGTGGCGGATCTTGCAACTAATTATAGGGTGGTCAAAATCATTTTACTTATCACACAATAACATTGTTTGATCCACCAATTGAGAAGTGTACCTTTCAACATTCAAATCTTAATAAATAAGATTAAAAGAAAGAAAAATTACAATATACTGAGTTAAATTATTACACCAATTCTATACGTGTATTTTTACATTTTGTTTTCAAAATTTTGGGGGTTCACATGAACACCCTTGAACAAATGAGGTCCGCCTGTGCCGATACACATTTCATATTTCACATCTCAGATTGATAGTTCATCTATGTTTCAGTTTCCGAATCGATGAAATTCCTTAATTTAAAATTTTTAAATTGGAATTTTTGCTTGAATGTTATAGAATACATAAATATTAGGCATCTATCATACTGGAAAATTTCAATCCAATAAAAAAACATTCTAAAAAAGTGTAGGACAAAGAGAAAACAAAAGAAGTGGCAATGTGCATAGACAACAGGAAAGAAATGTAACAATGGAGTTGAGGATAGAGCAAAACCATGATGAGCATAAACAAAGCCGGGTTAGCCGGCTCTCCAAGTGTAGATAACTAGATATGGTCGCCGGCTGCTTATTCGCTTCTCTCGACTCTGTGACAGGAAACTCATTCTCTATCTCCCTCCTTAGCTCTGTCTCTCTATCCTCCAGTCACCTAACAGAAATACGAAGTATATATCAATCGAAACAAAAAAAAGGAGAGCATCTACTATTCTACAATTTCTACTCCGTGTTTATTTACAATGCATGCGTTGATGTTTTTATTCTTTCCATACAAAATACGGAGTAATTAAAACGCCCACTGTTGGAAGGATTAATTACCCGCTCAGGTAAGCCCAAAGCCGGTCAGCGAATTATATGCTTTTACGGAGGTGATTAATTCAGAGTTGGGAAAACTGTCAAATAGGTCTTCAAACTTTCATAAAAAAGTCAATTAAGTCCTTCTATAGGAGACTCTGTCCGGTCGTCGCGATTTGGGTCGGTTCCCGGTGTAATTTTTTCATGAAATTTTTTAAGCGTCTTATTCATTAAGTCTAGTTTACTCATACCAAATTTCAGCTAAAAATTCAATCGGGAACACATTCAAATTAATTCTTGAAGATAACTGCGCATTTTTGCGTTCTCGAATTAATTTGAATGCGCTCCCGATTAAATTTTTAGCTGAAATTTGGTATGAGTAAACTAGACTTGATGAATAAGATGCTCGAAAAAATTCATCAAAAAATTCCACCGGGAACTGCCCCAAATCGCGACGGCCGGACAGAATCTCCTATAGAAGAACTTAATTGACCTTTTTATGAAAGTTCGAGGACCTATTTGACAGTTTTCCCTTCAGAGTTTGATCCTTGGGCGGACAGTAGACAGGAGACTTGCCGTCACACGGTTACCTGTTTTAGTTGGGTCCGTTTGGTCTGTTTGATAATGAAGTTAAGCCAGTTTTGTTCAAAATAAAAAATTAAAAAAAAGCTACAAAAATCAGTTATAAAGTACTTTCTCTGTCCCATTTTGCATGTCCTACTTTTCTTATTGGGTTGTCCCAAAATAAGTGTCTCTTTTCCTTTTTTAGAAAAAAATATGTGACTTACACCATTTCACTTTATTATACTCAAACATCAGCAACCACAACTTTTACTTTTTCAACCATTTCATTAATAATCGTGTTAACTCAAACTAAGACACATAAAATGGGATAGAGGTAGTAACTATTACTATTCTCAAGTTGATTCACATAGAAATGTGAAGCAGCCAATTTTCATCTACATTAAAGAAACAATCAGGAAATTAAAGGTGAGGGCGTAAAAAAGTATTAAAAGAATTTTCAAAATATTTTGAGGTTAGTTAACATTAATTAATTGATGATGTTGGAGCCAAAAAGAAAAGGAAAAAAAAAAGAAAAGAAAAATATAAGGTATGATAAAAATAAATAATATTCTCCGTTCTTTTATGGTTGTGACTGTTTGACTTTCATGTTCGCCAATATACACCTTTGACTATAATTATATTTAATTACATATTAGTAAGTGTTGGTCCAAAATAAGACGCTCGTAGGCTTTTAGGAAGACTACGTTAGACACTCAAGTAGGAATTAGGAAAGTAGTACGGAAATGAAAAAGTAGCTAATGAAGTTTGGTAGCCAGAAATAACATATGAAATCGCCCCCCTAATTTGAATTAGGCATGCCTTTTATAGGCGTATACAAATCGTAACCGCTACCCATAATAATGACTAATTAATTACAACATTAATACAGAATTAAATATGTTATTAAATAGTACATTAATTGCTTGACTGTTACTCTTTTTGGCTGGCAGGTTGGCCTGACTGGTAGGCTTCTAGTTGGGTGGGTAGGCAGGCTCCAGGCTTGGACTTGGACTCACGGGTTCAAGTTCGGGACTTGGGCCAATTAGGCTCTGGGCCTAGTCTCATGACTCCATCAGTAAGCATTATAAGAATTTAATATTTTGGAAATTAACATAATAAAAATATAATAACATTTTATATATAATAATTCGATTATATATTGTATATATAAGTAGAAAATCATGGTCATAATCTGGTGTGTCAATAGTTCAAAAATCACAATGTTGCAAACTATTAAAAAATGAAGAAGATATGTAATAATCCGTCTAAGGGCCTGTTTGCAAAAGTTTATTTTGAAAAGGAGCTCTAGTCTTTCCGTGTGCAGAAAGACTAAAAGGCTGTGGGCCTGTGGTCATTGCTCAACTCTTAAAAGGGTACAAAAGCTTCTTTAAAAAAAAAAAGGTACAAAAGCTCTGCTTAAGCAAGTTAAAGCTTTATATCAGCACACTGCATATTTGTTTAAATGCCCAAACCGCTAATTTTTCTTCCTTTTGCCAGATATGAGCTGCTGTTTTCTTTCGGCTAAATTACCAAGAGGCCGTTTGGCAACATAGTTTTCCGGCTTATCAGGCTTATCAGCCAACCTTTCACAAAACACATAATTTTTGCTTTCACCTGTTGAATTGTGTAATAAACAGAAAAAGTAAGATTGGAGTTACTTTTCTGACTGTATTGGCTGAAGTTACTGTAGATGACCATTTTAGCTATTTTTACATATAATTTTTTGTTTATTTTATTAATAGAATATATTTTAAAAATATTTTTTCCTTAAATCAGCAGAATAAGCCAATGCAGTCACTTCAGCCAGAACTTCATAAATTTCAGCAGAATCAGTCAAAACAACCGATTTTCGTGCTACCAAACGGGCTCCAAATTGGAAAAATATGGCTATTGGACGGATTGGTAAAAAAAAACCATTTTACCAATCTGTCTCAATTGGTAAAAAAACAAATTTGTCTCAATTGATATTTTTTTACTAATCTGTCCAACAACCCTTTTTTTTACCAATTCGGTAATTTGGCCGTTTTCTTTCTTCATTTACGACAGCTATTATTGTAGGGAAAACCCAAAGCAATGTTTCACGAAAGCAAATAAAAAGCTCCAAGCAATGAAGAATTTGTGCTTATTAGACCCTTTGGAGTGGTGATGTATTATGACTCCAAAAAGCTAAATGTAGAATTTTTGGACTCCTAATTATGTGTAGTGGTAGTTTAAAAGTGGTATTAAAAATGGAAAAGGAGATGAAAGGGGTTAAGACGAGAAAAGGAAAGGAAAAAAGAAAAAAGAAAAAAAGACGGAAGCGGGTTGCTTTTTGGGTGCGAATGGTGTCATGCTGATTTCATCCCTGCGACCCTGCATCATAATATCCCAAGAAAATTTAAACTTGTGTAACTTTTTTATTTTTATCCAAATATTTAAAAAAGTATATCAAAATTCATAAATTTTTATGATCTTTCATATGACATCAATATGTAATATATATAATGTTTTTTTTTAAGTTTTAACGGTTGAAGTTTTCTTGAGTCCCGGAAAAACATGAAACACAAATTTTTAATTCATGGACCCTTCACAAATAATTGAATATTCCATAATCGAACTTTATTTGAACTAAGTTCATATTTTGTTAACCAAAAACGTTAAAAAAATTAATTAAATCTATTTATTTATTTCATAATTATCCAGCGAAAAAATTAAAAGGAAAACATTACTTATAATATTTTAATTAATGTTTTTCTAAGTTGATATGTTAAAAAATATGATCAGTGTATTTTATTAACGGTGCTGGAATAGTGGAAATATAGTGCTGTTATTCGAGCCGAGCCGAGCCCGAGTATCACACATTCGAGCTCGACTCGCTCAAATTTCGAGCCTGGCTCGAGCTCGGCTCGTTAAATTTCGATTCTGTATTTGAGCTCGAACTCGGCTCGTTAAAGTAATTTACAACTCGAGCTCGACTCGTTAATATACCCGAGTCAAGCTACTCGAGCTCGAGCTCGACAACTCGAACTCGAAAAACCCATGTATTAACTATAATATCATCATACTCGAAAAACCCATGACAATATGCCCACCTCACGAGCCCTATCGAGCTTCACCGGGTTTTATCGAGTCGAGCCAGCTCGGCTCGTGAACTTTATCGAGTAAACAAAAGAGTTCGAACTCGACTCGTTTTCTCTAATATACGAGCCGAGCCCGAGTTTAATCGAGCCGAGTCGAGCCGAGCTCGAGCTGAGCTCGATTTCCATAACAGCACTAAGTGGAATGCAAGAAAGTGGAAGTCTAAACACTGTTTTCATATAGAGGGAGTACATTTTTAACATTGGCCTCTCAACCACTCCAAATGGTCTTACACGGCCTCAAAACATGCACCTCCTTACGAACTCGTGAGTTTCTACTTTTTCAACACTGTGTTTGTTCCTTGATATTCCGTGGATTCAATCAGTTTTCTCATCTGACACTTCAGTATAACGTTAAAATGGGTGAATTTATAGGATGCATTAGAGCCCTATATGAGCAGAAAGGCAGTAGAGTTACACTGGGGCGGGCACCACCGATGTTACATTGAAGCTTTGAACAAACAGCTTGGGAAGAATGACGTACTGTATGGGTGCACCCTGGAAGAACTTATTAAAAGTGACTTATAACAGTGGAAATCCATTACCTGAGTTGAACAATGCTGCCCAGGTCTGTCACTGTCACTCTGCTTCAATCACTTAGCACAAATTTGCATCAAGAAGATCGACCGTCTATTCCATTTATTTACAAGCATGCGTTTAAGTAAGAAGTTTTTGTTTTTTCCAAGGAAAATGATTAAAACGTCCACTGTGTGTTATGGCAGCCATCGAGACACTGAGGAAAACTACTTCCCGGCCCTCACCACATCCTCATTCATTAGATTTCATTAGATTATTTAAGGTTAAATTAGATGGTTTAATTAGATGATGTGTACCATTTTTTTAAAGATTATCAAGATTATTGAAAATGATAATCCTGTATCAAGATTTGAATCCTGAATTATTTTAGGTTGTAATTACATTGCATTTAATACATAGTCTAAAAAAATTAATTATTTGAGCATCACGGTTGATGAAGAGTTTTAAGATTTGAAATTATTTAAAATTCATTGAATAATAATGATGTGACATGATAAAAAAAAATATGATGTGATAATGATGTGTAATAGAAAAACAATTTATTTTAAGATCATAAATGAAGATGTTCTTATATTACCATTTGTTGTCTCCAAAATTCTTCGGTAGAAGCACCTAAGGTTTAAGATCATACTCTCTCTGTCTCTATTTTATCTCCTCCTTTAACCCGGTACACAAATTAAGATAGTGAGTTTTGTGTGGTGGAGAGCTATGCAGAGAAGAAAGAAATGCGTAAGAATTGTTGTGAACCACAAATTCTTTGCTAAAAAGGGAAAGATGAGATAATTTTGGGACGAACGAAAAATAAAAGTTTGAAGATAATATAGGGAGTATCGTATTCAGGCAAAACTTTTCGGTCTTAAAATATTACTCAAATAAAACTATTCTACTCCGGATAATCTTTTTCTTGAAACAAACAACAACATTATATTACCCCACTCTTACAGAGGCTCCCACCAACGGTTGTACGTGTAATGGGGGTCGGATGTACGCAGACTTAGCTCTGGACTAATAAAACACAGAGAGCCTATGATTCATAATGAAAATTGCGTTTT